GAGAGAGAGAAGGAAGCAAAAGGCAATGAAAATAAAACAAGGCCACGCTTTTCTTTTTGCTGGATAAAGTTTCCATAACAATGATCGTCTCCGATTCACGGAAATCTCCATTTGCTGATTGAACAAAACATTGCCGCACTGGCATTTCCTTGGAGTTGAGAAATCTCTTCCAGTACAAAGTAGAATAGGCTTCCCCTCCGCTTGGCCAATGCTCTGGTGCAGTCGCTGTACCTTCCACGAGAGGCAATGATTGGTCGCTCCTGTGGGGTCTCCCCCTCGGAGGCCACCACCACCACCACCACCACCACCACCCACCCAGGAACAGTTCCAGAATATCGAGATTTCTTTTTCTTCCCTTTATTTCTGTGGATATGGTACAAAGCCCCTTTTGCATTGTGCTCCTGGGATGTTCCAATAGGAGCAAGCTCAGATGACTGCAGACCAGATTGGGCCTGCCATGGTCTTAAAGCAATATCTCTTAATGGCTCTTCAACTTCTATCCATTCCTTCGATAATCTTCTTTTTATTTTTCCACGATGATTTTTTTCCCAAAAGAAAAAAAGAAAAGAAATGACACATTATACATACAGACCGTAGAGGAGGTATTCTTGTAAATATGTTCCCAAGGTTTTAGACGCAAGCAAGCAAGCAAGTAAAGGGACGACGTGACTAGCGGGGACAGCGACGGTGGGTCCCCGTGACTCAGAGACGGGCGGGAGCAAAGTGTGGTGGAGAGTTGAGAGTCCGATATGGGAACCAAATAAATAAATATGTGATATATATATATATATATATAAATGAAAAGTCATCACGTCTCTATCCCAAACTCCTCCTTTCCTATTTAGATAAATTATCTTTCGACTATTTTTTCGCGCACATGCCGTCTCCACCTCGTCTCGTCGTCTGCTCCATTTCTAATCTTACCTAAACCTGCTTGCTCTACCACTACAACATCCCCTCTGTGGTATGAGAGAGGAGAGGTCGGACATGTCGGAGGACGAGGACGGTGGAGGAGGAGTGGAGCAGAAGGAGCGCTGGGGGCCGTCTCATGGCGGCGGCGGCGGCGGCTGCGGTTCCGCTAAGAGCCGGGGTGGAGTCTGGACGGATCCGCCGCCGCCCTTCTCCGACCAGGTGCTGGAGAACGTGCTCGAGAATGTCCTCCAGTTCCTGGTGTGTCGCCGGGACCGGAACGCCGCGTCGCTGGTCTGCCGGTCGTGGTACCGGGCGGAGGCCCAGACCCGGGGCGAGCTCTTCATCGGCAACTGCTACGCCGTCTCCCCCCGGCGGGCGACCGATCGGTTCCGCCGCGTCCGGTCGGTCGTCCTCAAGGGCAAGCCCCGGTTCGCTGATTTCAGCCTGGTGCCCCTCGGCTGGGGCGCCCACTTCTCACCCTGGGCCTCCGCCATGGCCACCGCCTACCCCTGGCTCGAGAGGATCTGCCTCAAGCGGATGTCCATCGCCGACTACGACCTCTCCCTCCTCGCCTTCTCCTTCCCCTTCTTCAAGGATCTCACCCTCATCTGCTGCGACGGGTTCGGCACCCTCGGCCTAGCTGTCATCGCCGAGAAGTGCAGGTTAGGGGTCTCGCGTCACTCATCTCGTTCAATTGCTTGTTGTACCTCTATCCTGTAATTCCTGTTAGATCTCAGCGGTGCGATAAATCTGAAACCTCGACCTTGACGTAATGCTAACCCTAGTTTCATGTCGATGAGCTGTGCAAATTTAGACGTGGATGTGCTGCTTATGCAAGTATTTGATGGAATTTTCCTTAGGCATCTGCGGGTGCTAGATCTGATAGAGGCCTATTTGGAGGAAGAAGAGGAGGATGAGGTCGTGGATTGGGTTTCCAAGTTCCCACAGACAACAACGAGCTTGGAGACACTCGGGTTCGATTGTGTGGTCTCCACAGTCAATTTCGAGGCATTGGAGGCGCTCGTCGCCCGATCTCCTGCCCTCCGGCAGCTGCGGGTGAATCACCATGTCACCGTAGACCAGCTCTTCCGTCTCATGGTGCGGGCGCCCCAGCTCACCCACCTTGGCACAGGGTCCTTCGGACACCCTGCAGCCCTGGCTCTACAAGGAGACGTAATGGAGCATGACGCTGATCTCGTATCTGCCTTTGCTGCCTCCAAGTCGATAGTCTCTCTCTCAGGCTTCCGCGATGTTGCATCTCAGTACCTCCCTGCTATTTACCCAGTCTGTGCCAATCTCACTACCCTCAACTGTAGCTTCGCCGAGATAACTGCTGATGAGCTGAAGCCCGTGATCCACCATTGCCATAATCTTCAGAAATTCTGGGTACTTGCCACTTCTAACTTGAGTTGTCCTAATTTGGTTTCATCCATCTTTTTTCCTCTGAAATTCTCTGTCGATGGGGTTCTTGTTTTCAGGTTCTTGACACGGTGCGTGATGAGGGGCTTCAAGCAGTGGCAGCCACATGTAAGGACCTCCGAGAGCTGAGGGTGTTCCCTTTAAATGCAACAGAGGACTCCGAGGGGTTTGTCTCAGATGTTGGTCTTGCAGCTATTTCTCAGGGTTGCCGGAGGCTCCGATCAATTCTATATTTCTGCCAGCAGATGACTAATAAGGCAGTTATAACAATGTCCAAGAATTGCCAGGAACTCGTTGTGTTTCGCCTTTGTATCATGGGTCGCCACCTCCCTGACCACCTTACCAAGGAGCCCATGGATGAGGGATTTGGGGCTATAGTGATGAATTGCAAGAAGCTAACTAGGCTTGCAGTTTCGGGGTTGCTCACCGACAAGGCATTTGGGTATATTGGAAAATATGGGAAGTCAATAAGAACTTTATCTGTTGCTTTTGCAGGGGACAGTGACGTGGGGCTAAGGTATGTGCTCGAAGGGTGCCCCAAATTGCAGAAGCTTGAGATCAGGGATAGCCCTTTTGGGGATCCAGCACTCCTCTCGGGGATTCACCAATACTATAATATGAGGTTCTTGTGGATGAATTCGTGCAAGCTGTCTATTAGGGGTTGCAACGATGTAGCTCAGAGGTTGCCTCGCTTGATCGTTGAAGTGATTAGAGATCGGCCTGAAGCTGATGATGAGACTGTCGAGAAATTATACATGTATCGTTCCCTAGCAGGGCCAAGAAATGATGCACCGCCTTTTGTGATGATCTTATAGTGTGATCCTTTCCACTTAAACTGCTATCAGGAGGAAGGAAAAAATTGCAATCGTCTTCTGATTCCATGGAGGAGCATACTCTGCGTAGGGCAGCTGGTTCCGACCAATGCATAAAGGTTGATCTGATGGCTGGCCTTCATGATACCTAAGACAATCCTCTTTCTCTTCATTCCATGGGAAGATAGTTCCAGTATATCCTCTGCCCCGCATCCATTTTCTACTTGTTTGGGTTGCTGAAACAACATTTCATTGGAGGATCACCGAAATTTCATATTCTTTTTCGGTGGAGGTTTTTATTTCTATTGCACATTTGATAGTCCGATCAAACAGATGGCAGAAGGGGAGATTAGCGTGAGGATGTTGTATAAGTAGGCTGTTGCTTGTAGGCCATTTTCCTAGCACTCAATTTTGTTTTAAGAGAGAGAGAGATTACATGACCGACCACTTCGACTGGTTTTCAGATGGAAGCTGACCCTTAAAAATCCTGACCGAAGACTATTTATGGCCTCCCATTCTGTATGCACATGACACCATTCAGGGACTGGTTTAAAGGTCAGGAGGTGAAATCTGAAACTCCGAAAGAGTCCTTATTTTATGTAGGAGTTTTAGCTTATCAGTGAACAGTATAAGCATGAGTGCTTATTATTTCATCTGGTGCTTTTATTGTTTGGGCATATAAACATAAACATGATCTCTAGGACTTGGAAGTTTGTAATTTTTAACTTTTCCCTTGATATATTACTATTTCATTGGCATAATGAATGCAGTGGCCATAGGGCATTCAACTGTTGTAGTTGTGGCTGTCCCCATGGCATCACTGTTTGCTTGGAGCCCATTAATGATGGGATCATGAAGACCTGCATGAGTTACAGGAAGAGGATTTTTTTTGACAGGACCAAGTCTCTACCACTCAGATGGTCAACACAAAGTTGGGTTATGGTCCCAATTGAAGTAACACTTCATTGATTGGACTATCTCTATCATCAGACTATTGCGCCTTTTGGATGGCAGGTCATTGGCTTTTCTGCTCAGATTGGTAGGCAGGTGAGCAGCAACTGTCATCTGTGGCCCATGAAGGTTTAATTGGACCTGCCTCCACTTGTGATCTGCACTGGTACCTCTGATGAGCTACAGAGGAGGAAGAAGAAGAAGAGGTATCTTTCTTCTTCTATATATGTATATATTTCTTTTCTCTTGTTAGGTGCAATTATATGAACTGGAACACTTGATGTCTCCCTGTGGGACTTTGCTGCCTTGTTGTGCTAAGAATTGAGTCTCTTTCCACTTCCTAATCTGATGTGAACAGCTCCGGAGCAAAGTGGCATTCTGGGTTCTGGGAAAGCTTCACGTGGACGCATCTCTTGTGTTCTATCACATATGCTGCTGCATTTTGCTCAGATGATGACACCTTGCTATATTGTCTGACAGGTTCAGATCTGGTGAAAGAGGAGAAGAAATTGTTGGTATGATCATCAGGGTAACTTGCTCAACTAATTGCATGACTCCAATAAATTGCATGAAATTGTTGCAATCATATAAAGCTTTCAGCTAGGGTTTCTTATGTATATTTTGTTTTAGAGGTCAACACAGGGTTAAGATGGTGCACATAAAATATAGGTATTGTGATTGATGGAGACAGACACAAGGGTTGACCAAAAGGATGACAATGCAACCTATAGGTATTCAGGGAAGTTGATACCCTAATGTGGAGTTACTACTGCCTTTGGGTGCTACACAGTTGAGGATATGTGGAGACAATTAAATGTGGTGACTGTTGTAGCCCTTTGCTTTAAAAGACAGTTCCAACATCTCATAGAGCTCAAGGAATGAGAGACAAGTTTAGTCCTCCTAAATTGCTGCCAGATTTGGTAGATTAGTTTCACTTTAAGACATTTGACTTGAAATTAGAGGATGTTTTGTGTCCAGTGATAAGTTATCGATTATGAATGATCAATCACATGATTGTTATTGGATAATCATAGTTCAAGTCATGGAAACAATTTGTCTTTTCACGGGAATAGAGAATATTATACTTATTGGTCTTTTTTAGATTCTAAGAATAACATTATCAGTAGGGTCTTTTTTGAGCTGAAGTTCTGGAAATGATTTTTTTCTTCACGAGGAGATCGTATTGATCCTTCTTAGATTCCATATTAATAGGTGTTTTTTTCTTTGCTTGTTGAAGCCAATGCTAAATTCTTATGACATAATTAGGTAAGGATTATGCTTTGAAACCTCAAGAGCTATTGTGCATATATCATGTGCTCGGAGTACGTTTGCTAAAATGAATTGAAAAGAGTGTGAGGACCTGCCATGTCGATACACAAGCGATAAAGCATGTGGTTGAATTCAGTACAAAGTGAGGACCTGCCATGTCGTGAATCCTCATTGAAGTAAATGCCATAATTCATGATCATGATTGTGTCATGGATACCAATTACACAAACATCTACAGATGTCTCTATCGCACTTACAAATATCTCACATTTCATAAGATCCAGCCTACCAGATGTCCATCACTGTTTCGAAAGAAAATAGAATTATTGGTGCTCCTTTCCTTGATGGAACTATAACTTTTAGAGCTCAATTATAAATAGGAATCTTGATTTTTTTTCTTTCCTTTTACAGTTTTTTTTTTATCATCTATACCACCTAAATTTTGTGCACAATATTGTTATATTGATATATATAACAATATTATTTTTGCATATAAGAGTGCAAACCAAGCATAATATATGCAATGATGTTGATCTTGACATAGTTAAGTGTGTTATATGCCTATTTGAATGCTTTCCATCTATCAAAGAATAGTTATTCATGTATAACAAAAGGTATGAATTAAAATTCTTAAGGCAAGTATTACAAGTTTCAAATCCAGCAAGGGTTGGAATCTTTTTTTTTTAATATTTTCCCCATTTTATGGAGTCCATAACCCCAAATAGTTGGTACTAATTTTATTATTGTTGTTGTATGCTATAGAGTCCATTGGAGAGTGAGAAGTCTTCATACTTGAAGTTTCAGTTTCACCACCGTTAGTGTTGTATCTTCCATTCTTAAACCCATGGGCATAAGCTTATCAATGGACCCATGTGAATGGTTGTTCAAATCCACAATCTTGTGGGTGATTAATCAGTGGATGACACCATCCAACCTTGTGAGAAGATATGAAAGATGATTTATATTTCATGATGATTGGATGTTTCACCAGCAGTCTGACAAGTGGGTGTAAAAATGCATTTCTGCACATTAAACATTTTATTCACTCTTTTATTAATTTTGGCCATGCATGTTCCAGTCTTTCTACAATGTTATTCCAATAATGTCTGTAGAAATATCCTAAATTTGTAGGTTGACATTGTTCAACAGAAAATTTCAAATTTGATGGTCAATTATGATCAAGCTAGAAGCTTTTTGTGGAGAAAAAAAAGTTTGGGCAATTGCTAATTGTTCTTTTGTCTTGTACTATTCTTGGATATTGACTGTGGTAGTCCAATTCCTTTCTATGTCACAACAACCACACTCTTCACTCTCCTAAGAGAGACAGTCATGCAGGTAATGCCATGGCTCGAGTGTTGTTATCCAAGTGACCAATCATACTAGCTTTCCAGATACATCCATCTCATGCATTGTCCAAAGAGTGGTCAAAAGATATTGGAGAAGCCATAATTAGGTTTCTGTGGACTCCACCATACACCATGATGATTGAGGTTGCTGATGAGCTTAAAATGTTGATCTGGATGTGCAACTCTCCATCAGAAGATCACAGAATCCTCTGCCATGAAGAAGTCAACATCAGAGATCTTCGACTTTGCTGGTCCATTGTTGTTTTCCGAAAGAAAAGCTTCCTTTTGATGATTCTATATAGGCACGATTGAGGTTGATGCTACTTTGTCCAAAGAAGAAGATGAGAGCTGCTTTGATGCAATGGCTTCAAGGAATGGACTTTGACCAGTTGATATGGACTAAGCTGGAATCAGACAACTCATGAAGTTGTATGACTTTGATGTTGGATTATGATATGATAGAAATATAGTCTGTCTGCTTGAAGGTTGAGGTTGCTTGCTTGCCACAGTGGTTTCTCTTCATTGATCATGTCCATGGGAGAGGTTTTTTCTTGCTCCTTACTCAACAGTCTCCATCATCTTTGTTAAGTTCCTTGTTCTCCTCTCTATGACTCCATACTAGTCCACAGAGAGTTGAGCTACCCAGTTGTTGGATCCCTCCCTGGAGAGCAAGAAAAGATGTCATAAGCTTCACTTCCATGAACATGTAATGCAGAGGAAACATGGTCTAAGTTACAGCAATCATCACTGAAGGTTGAAGTCAGTGGGATACACAACAAGATCTACCACAATTCATCATCAAACAAGCAGTCAGTCACAACCTGGGATGGATGACACAAGACATACAGCAATTACTCATTTAAACAGTTTGGAAAAGCGAAATCTACTTCTACTTGCTCCTCTATTTTTTGTTTCCTTCGATTCTTTCATCTTCTGTTCCTTCCCAAAGGGACTTCACTAGTTTCTCAAAAACTGAAAACAGATGACAAGTACAGTTTCATACCCAACTGCTTTGATCTTCGTTAAACAGGTTTCATCATCTCTTTTCTTTCTAATATCTTTTTCGATTTAGCAACCGGTCGATGCTTGATTTCCCTATCTTACTTGATCCTCTTCTTCTGCATCATTCAAGTAGATTCTTTCTTTGGTTTTGGTTTTCCTATGGTTCTGACCACACCAGAATTCTGACTAACAAAACCAAGATAAGAAGTACAGACAAAGCCACCTTCATGAGTGTCTGCACATCTTCCTCACCTGTTACCGGCTAGAGAGTTATGATGATATATCACCTGTGGCCTGGCAGTTTTATCATCAGTCTTCTTATAGCTCAGGCATGCAGCATCCGACACCCCAATCGAGCTATGTGGCATGGAGGAATCAGATGCACTAGCAAGCTTAGGTGAGCTATTATTTCTCGATACCATCGATTCTTGGATCACTCCATAAAATCTCAGGAATCCCTGCAAATGAGAACTTAAATCATGATAGCCAATTACTAATAATACATGAAATGACTCGAAGGAATACAAATCTTTTGTAGCTACAAGTCAGGAAAAAGAAGGAACAGTTATGCACCTTGAAAAGAGGGATACAGCAAGGTAAAGACCTTCTCAACCGCTGCAAGAATGGCACTCACTTAAGTCAGACAACTCAATCCGCGCAGCTCAGTGTAACAACAAGAAGGGTGATTAATGTTACAGCTTCTGAGCAGTGACATAATATTCTACCTCTAATTGCACTTGAGATGAGTTTGACCCAATGGGACAACAATAGCTCCATTTTTTTTGGACAATCCTTGCTTCAAATTCATACTTTGCATCATCTAAGTACCGAAGCAATTCATGAAGTTTTCTGAATAGATGCATAGTCAAAGAACATAGTATGGATGTTTTTTTAGAAAGTCTTGCTCACTTGCAAATACAGAGACAGAGGGATTTCAGTTTCCTCCATTTTCACAGACAATAGTTGTGTCATCCAATCCTTGCATCGCCACAAATAGAATTAACACATGGAAGAGACAAACAAGATTGTATCATCCAAAAAAAGAGGAATCTACTGGCAACCCTCTGCCTACTGGTTGCTATATCCTGCAATAAAATCCGATCAATGACCAATGGCCACTGACCTACTGGTGGACAATGGCCAAAATCCATTGTTGACTGCCGGTTGACCGATGATCACCGATTGACAATGACAATCTATGATCTCATAAAGGTAATCACCATTTCTTAAGATCTAGATTTGTTGATGGTTGACTCATAGTGATTGATCGAAATGGCGATGTAGGATCTCCGATTCTTCTATTGGTGCTGATGGTAAGAGAAAAAAAATTAGTTTTGGCATAGACGATTTACAACAAATTAAATTTCATAAAAGCATAGTCCACAATCGAACAATTACCTAATAAATGAAATTGTACAAACCAAAATTAACTCTAATTAAGTGTCGCATAAAAAAGGAAACATTGTTGAGTTCATCCACTTATAGACCAAACAGCAAAATAAATTCATGAAGATGGTATGTGTTACTCCCCTACATTCCATGTAATGCATCCTCGTGTCACCTCCCCTGCTTTCGACATCCCGATACCCATGCAAACAGGATGCAGGAGTCCTGTTCCACATGAGACTTTCCCCATGCATCCATGTAGTCGGGGAGCAACAAAAGGTTCAGGAGTCCAGGTCTGGAGTTGCTAAGTTGCTTGTACTCGAGCAATGGGCTGTGCCACATCTGATCATCTGGAGATTTTGGCCAGCTAAAAAAGCCCCAAAAGGTCAGTCTGTCTATGTCTGAAAAAGGAAGATTGATGGCTAGTTTTGAGGGCAATTTAGTCCTACAATTGTCAGTTTCTTCTGATAAAGGTTTTGGCTTGGTCCCTGTGAGACCCAAGAACACAAGAACTCTTTTTTATTATTCTAGTATTCTATAAAATATTTCCTGCAACATATTCCTTTAGTTTTTCTTCTACCAACTCCTTGCAAGACCTTTCTCTGGAGAAATCCTAGTCAGGAGAAGATCTAGCATAGCTGGCTCCATGTCTACAGACACAAGAGTATTCAGCATGACATGGCTCTAGACATCAAATTTGTCCATAATGACTGATGTTTGATTATTATGATTACAGCAATCTGCTAGGAATTCTAGGACAAAATCATGGTCCATAAATCATGTTCTTTTTGGGGCTTGTTCGTCTGTTGTAACCTATGAGAATCATCAAGATTAAAGCACAGATAATAGACAAATATAATAATTAGTAAATAATCCATTATTGAATGGCAAATGCATCAAATATGGATAGCATAAGAAAAAGTATGAGCTGGTGCACAAGACTACTGTCAGTGCAGGTATCATTGTACTCAGCCTTGCCCTACAAGCGCGGGAGCTGTGTCTGCAACTTGAACCCTGGTTTCCTAGGTCCGAAGGAGCCTTCTGAATTCAAAGGCAAGCACAAAGCCATCAGTTAATTCAGTTCAACACTTGCTGAATACAATTACAACCAAGTAGAATCAATTATATTACTAACTTGCCTATAACATAAAGATACCATAACTGAAGTCTTGTTAGAAAATAAAGATACCGTATCTGAAGTCTTGTGCAATTAATCTGTAAGTCCTTTATAAGATAGATTGTTCCTCTTAATATGCTAATTTCTCTTGCATGGATATGAATGATGGCAACAGAAGACCAATGATAAAACTACAAAGCCAACAAACAATCAGAAAAAAAAAGGGCATACAAAGTACAGTTAATGGAGTTAAAAATCATAACTAGAACCCAATTAACATTGATGGCAGTCCTCGATGTAGTGATTAACTTCATATCCTAATATTGTTTTTAAAAGAAAAGAGAGTGCATAAATATATGAAAAGAAGGATCCTGAGGAATGCATATAGGATGTTTTGTAAACAAGATATGCCTTACCAACTTATGATCTTATAAGCCAAAAATAACAACTAAAGCGCAAATGACCATCAACACAGAGAGAGTCAATAGAAGGAATAAAGACACAACCGAAGATGTCGAGGTGGACAAATATGCAAGGAACATAGGTGCAAAAGCTCATTTTTTGCAGACTAGGAACACAACCATGGAAACCAACATGAATTGTTGGCAGTACACCAGAGATCATGGTGAATGAAAAAAAAGAGCAGCATGAATCATGAAGAACTAGTAAAAAGCATTTCGAAATTAGCTACATAGTTAAACTTGAGGTTATAACCTTTATCAGCAAATTTTACTTTACATTAGGCTGTCATGATGTAATCCAATCTGTCACAACATACATTGATATTTACTCCACCTTTTTACGTTAGATAGTTCCCAAAGATCTCCTTTCCATGTACAATTACTTCTAATAGTATGATGCTCTGAGACATGATCCAGTTATTATAGCAGACAAGCTTCTTGCTTTAAAACATGCCAGCTTTTATAAACTAGGACTAAAGCAATATGTACTTTATAACCTTCATAAAGATACTTGAAAAACTAACCATACAAAAAACCTGTCTAGTCTATCATAGTCAACTCCAGACGCCAAATTTTTAGGAAATATGTAGACAGAATTGCTAAAAGGCTACACTATGGAGATTTGAATCTCAAGTCCAACTCTTTTATATATGGCTGAACATCTCTGGTTGAACTTGTGAAAAGAAAAGCAATCACAACCACAGATGAGAAACCAACATAATCCAGCACAAAAATGCGGACACAACTCTTCCCAAGACATTCCACAACTATGAAGCTGATACGAGTTGCAAAATTGTTGGGAAATGCAATTAACTCCGAATATAACCTAGAAAAGTTACAGAAAAAGAAATATGATGATCGATATCCAATCAATTACTAAATGAACGAAGCTAATCGACCAACGAATTGTATGATCCATGCCCAATCCTGCATCACTCCACCCAGGCATCCAGCATCTTACACAAGAAGGACTTCGATTTTAGATTAGAGAAGAAATGTTCCTATAGAAACCCGTAAAAATGATAGAAGACGAACGGTATGATGGTCTTGATCTACTTCCGTGATCTTAATCACACAAAGAATCTCTGAAAAATTTGATTTTAGAGAGCAATGAGATCAGGAAAACCAAAAATCCTCATCATCTAAAAGCAAAACATTAACATCTTGACCAACCTGTCGGCCGCGGCCTTCCGCTCCTCCCCATCTTGGATTCCCCCTTCGTCTCGAGGTAGGTGGCGTGGCAAAAGATGGGCTCCTCCGCGGTGAACTCGCGGGAGGAGGGAAGAAAACGGGGAAAAAGGAGGGACCTTTTGAGTCGCTTTGTTTCCTAGCTTATTCGGAAAATGAAACGCGCACGAGCAAAATACACGCAATCGTTTACGCGATGAGATGTCCTCTCGCACTTAACGTTTGCTCGGATGTGTTGTTGAGTTATTCTCTTTGCCCATGCGGCCCGGCCCCACAGAGCCGTGCCAAAGGGAACCGCTACGTATTGTGAGGGATAGGATATATGGGTACACGAAGAGGGTTCCACGCAGTTTTAAGAGGGTACCTCTGTCCTCTTGCTCGACTGCAACGTTGAGCAATGAGTCCCCAAAACCTCATCAAAGTCCCCAACAACGTCACCTCTTCCCCTGCGACCACGAAATGGATATCTCCTCTTCAGTGCCTTAAGCCAGCTTCTATCGTACGACCAGCACCACCTCCACTTCCTCCTCCTCCGCCTACTGAGCCGGAGCGGCGTCGATCCCGGTTTATCTCCCACGCCGACGCGGTGCGACTCATCAACCGGCAGACAGACCCGCAGCGAGCCCTCGACCTCTTCAACGCGGCCGCTGCGCAGCCCGGCTTCGCCCACAACCACGCCACCTACTCCGCCCTCCTCCTCAAGCTCGCACGCCATCGCCGCTTCCCTGCCCTCGACGCCGTCCTTCGCCGCATGTCCCTCGAGCCGTGCCTCTTTCACGAGGCCGTCTTCCTCCGCCTGATGCCACTCCTCTGCCGCGCCTCCCTTCCCGACAAGGCCGTCCGCCTGTTCCGCTCCGCCATCCCCCTCCTCGTCCGCCGCAACCCCTCTCTCAAGGCCCTCGCCACCTGCCTCGACGCCCTCGTCGAAGTCCGCCGCTTCGACCTCGCCCAAGACCTTCTTACCGACGCCAGGGCCCGTTTCTCCATCGAGCCCAACACCTGCGTCTGCAACATCCTCGTGAAGCACCATTGCACGAGCCACGACCTTGACTCCGCCTTCCGGGTCCTCGAGGAGATGAGGGCGTCGGAGTTGGCGAAACCCAATCTGATCACATATTCCACGCTGATGGGTGGATTGTGCAGAGAGGGCAGGTTGAAAGATGCCATCGACCTGTTCGAGGAAATGATTGACAAGGACAAGATCGTCCCCGACCACTTGACCTACAACGTGCTGATCGATGGGTTCTGTAGAAGCGGGCAGGTGGATAAGGCAAGAACCATCTTCGGATTCATGCGGAGCAATGGCTTGGAGCCCAACATGTACAACTACGCGGTTCTGATGAATGGATTCTGCAGAGAAGGGAGAGTGGAGGAAGCAGAAGAGGTTTTCGAGGAGATGGGGAAGATTGGGTTGCAGATTGACGTCGTGACCTACACAACGCTGATTGGCTGCCTTTGCAGAGAAGGGAGGGTTGACGAAGGAATCGAACTGGTGAAAGAGATGAGGGAGAAAGGGTGCAAGGCCGATGTGGTGACCTGTAATGTGGTGATCGAAGGGTTGTGCAAGGAAGAGAGGTTTAAGGAGGCGATGGGTTTGCTGGAGAGCTTACCATACGATGGTGTGAGGCTAAATGTTGCGAGCTATAGGATCGTGTTAAATAGCTTGTGCGCCACAGGGGACATGGAGAAGGCAATTGGTCTGCTTGGGTTGATGCTTGGAAGGGGTTTCAGACCTCACTTTGCGACCTCCAACAAATTGTTGCTTGGATTGTGTGAGGTTGGAAGGGTGGCAGATGCAACTGTTGCAATGTATGGATTGGCAGAGATGGGGTTTATGCCAGAGAGTGATACATGGTTTCAGTTGGTTGACTCTGTCTGCAGGGAGAGGAAGCTTAAGAGAGCATTTGACTTGTTTGATGACTTGCTTATAGCGGAGTGAGTTATACGAGTCGTCTTAATAAGTCAAGGCTTGTCTTCGCCATGACTGCAATCCAACCCAACAGCTGAGTCGATCCTGTTGGAACAGATTATTCTTTACTTGGTCATAGAGCTGTGTTTTCAGTGAGTTGGCCTTTACTTGGTCAAGCCATGAACTTGCAAGCTCAGGTACCGGAACGCTTGACATGGTGTACAATTGATTTATGTTGACACTTAGATTCTGGAGGAACTTAGCAGAAGATTTTTACGAGTGATATTGGTTAGTAGCATACAGGAGTTTTTCCATGGACGAATGATCAGACTCTGATGGAAATCGAGTTTGTAATATCACTTTCTTAGGGGATTCATTACTAATTGTATGGTGATCTATGAGTCCTGTGGGTTCTTTTCTTGAACGTACACCATATATCAAATGAACAATCAGAACCTTTTACTTGGGATTCCTTCTTGTGCATTTTGACAAAGGTATGTCAAAGTTGATGACAGAAAGCCACAAAGACTATGTATGCGTGAACAGACCAATCTAACAAAGCATTTCGTAGAAAACACTACATTAACTGATCGAAAGCCAACTAAGTAGTAATCAACAGCAAGGAAAATACATAAGTCATCATGTCATTGGCTTACTCCTCACAGGACAAATAGTTTCAGGAGTAGCAGTTATTTCATGGTTCTACAATCCCCCTTGTGGCTTAAACTAGTTATTACTGCACGCTGAGGACTTCGATTTCAAAGATCAAGACCGAGTTTGGACGGATACCCCAAGTTGGAAAGCCATCAGCTCCATAAGCATAATCTGGGGAACACTGCAAATGGATTAAGCACCTGTCAGCACATATTAACGGGAGGACAGTTGTAAAAGATTACACAACGGAACTTGAAAGGACAGGAGATAAAATGATGTATGAGGTCTCCAACTTGGCTTCTGGCATCATTCTGTTTGAGGAAAAGGCAGAGACACATAGAACTTTAGGATGACAGGAAACCCAGCTGTTGCATTACTCTTTTGCAAATGTTACAATTCGAGTAATTTCAGATGAAAAACAGATTCCTTTCGGCAATGATACAGGATAGAAGAAACAAAAAAAAATCATTAGAAGCCTCAAAATCTGAAAACACCTTGAGTAGCATTTTCAACAATTTGGACAGCTCAGAATAGTGAAGAAACTAGAACACCATCAAACTTGTGACTGGCATGGGATGAATATTACCTGAAGTCGAGCAACTTCTCCCACCTGCATATCCATCACTCCCTCATCCCACCCTACAAGAGATGACATATTAGTTGACTAATATTCTTGAATGAAAAGGCAATTTAAATTACAAACTAGCAGATGACCAATTTCTATCATTCACGAAAAGACAAATGGGACTGATCCTTCACATAGGCAAGTCAATCTACCAAACAATTCACTTGAAGAAGTACATTTAATTAATTAAACAACATTGTGGCTTGTGAGATCAGTCCCAAACAATGTTCTCACTAGATGTTGCAAGTTTCAACTATATGGGTGAGTTCTAAAAACTAAAAAGAGCAGTCCAGTGCAAGATGCTTTCATGGATATGGGATCTCAGGGTGTATGGGTACAGCCTATCGTGTAAGCAAAGAGACAACAGCAGCAGCAACAACAGCAACAGCATCCCACATATCTGGGTAAGCGAAAAAGACTGTTTATGTTCTTAAAATTATGGTCACCCAGGTTGCTGCCATAGTGCTAAGACTTGCTGCTAAAATCTCATCCATAAAACCAAGACTGCTAAATATTCTAGTCACTGCCCCTTCCTGACAACTTGCAGCTAAAATTTTACATATCAAAGGATGGATAAAACAATAGCAGTTATTTTGTATACACAAGCCATCATAAATATTCAAATTTGCTACTCATTAACAGCAATTACTGAAATGTCAAAAGGACAGCCAGCTACGTCCTCTGGGAAAAAAACATGTTAAAACCTAGAGGAACACAACAATGACTGAATGAAATGATTGGGCAAAAATATAGTAGTTTGATTGGAAGTAACATAAGTTCACATTCCTTCACATATGCAGATAAATAATGGTCTAATAGTGCTTGTAGTGATGAATCTTATTACCTTTAGATGACAAAAAGTGGAGTGAACATAAGCAAAGGGGATAGACATAGGAGACATCCCATGTTACATAAGTGAACTTTCAAGATCCATGACGAGACTTAAGTACCGAAACAACATAATCGAGGAGCCGTAACAATGAATTGCATTCCACATTATGCAGAATAGTGTGAAAAGATGCTGGAGTGAACAAAAGCATCCAACATCGCATAAGGCTTTAATGCATATAGAAACTTCTAAATTCCCCAAATACCATACATTGAAGCAGAGTTATGATTCTAGCCCACATTCTGCAGAATAGGATGTTAGCCTATTTTCTCAACAATCATACTACCTTTGGTAATAGAACAATAGAGTGATAGACAATCTGTTAAATCCAGGCTGCTCGGCACCATGTGCATCATGAATAAAGTAAAATGAACTAAGAGTTTGAAGAAAAAAGACAAGTTTATGGCATCAAAAATTTAAATGGCTGACAACCAGAGAAGCAGCAAGGGATTTAGTTAAACTCTCTCACAATGTAAATTCTCTTGCATAAGGTTGCAATTCCAGTTGTACCAAAAAGAAGATTACTCTTATCCAATTTTATAAAAAAATTGATAGCTTGCACATCCACTCTCATCACAGGTTACCTGAATATTGAATGAAATAAACAATCACCTTTTTTCTGGATCATATTACTAGGGACATAGACATATGAGTTTGCATGTGCCTAAAATAATATTTTTAAGAAAAATGCAAGACATATCATAATAAAACAAAATTGTAAATAATATTTTTTTAGAAAGAGGAACTGTTGCAACCATCCAAAATTCCCAAGATCCCAACTATAAAAAAATTCTTTCTACTTCTCAGATTATTGAAAATTGAGAATCATTTTGTTATCTATGGAACTCCTCCATTATTGCAATTGTCCATCTAACTTCAAGCAACCATGGCACAATTTGGAAACCTTTAGGGTGTAAAGTTCTCATGATATATAATTAGTTAAATATTCCTCAAATTATGCCTAAACTATGAAATCTTTGAGACTGGCATCTCGACCTAATTTCATCAACAATCTGGCCTGGCTGGCTAACAATGGTACACAAGAACTAAGAGAAATGCAGAATTAACTGGAAGAAAGCTACAAATCTAGCTTTAAAACATATTCCACTTGCAGCATGTTGCACTTAAATTTAAAATAGTTGGATAAAATGATTAAGTATTACCTTTAATAACCGAGCCCAAACCAACTTTAAATGTGAATGGCTGCTGTCCAGGATCTTTGGTGCTGAAAATCAATAGAAAAAGGGTGAGGCTCGCATTCATTGTATTTATAGAAGAAAAAGAACAAGGAAAAGAAATACCTCCAGAATTTTTTTGAGAGGTCACCATCCTTACCTGCAGAAAAAAAGATACCATTGGAAAAAATCAGCATTATCCAAAAGAATCATGATCTGTTGAAACCAACTAACATTATTTAAAGTCTTCAAAGTGCAGATATAACAGAAGACCACATTACATATGCCCAAAGCACAAGAGCAATCACTTTATATTAATGTAAAATATAAGTATTGGCTTTACACAGGAGGACGAGAGGATATTTCATGAAGGAAAAATTGCATACGTATATCTCTGAAGTTAATGTTTCATATAGCATATGCATATCTATATAAAACCAAAAAAAATTGTATTCCCTTTGTAGTTAATCTCCATCAATTGAACACTTGATTGTTAATTGAAACATTATTTGTTAATTGCAGGGGTAGTCCAGCATTTTAAATCTTGATGTCCTCCTCAAGGTACTCCAAGATGACTTGTTAACACAAGCATGAAACGATACATGATGTGGTAATCAGTCATCAACTGACCCCAAGAAACACCTTATTGGTACTACTTGGCAGCAAGGCACATGCAACTTTGATATCAGGTTGTGACCGATGCACATTCATGCTTATCATTGAATAGACCATCAAAGTAACTCCTGGGAAAAAGATACGGGCATCTAGGAAACTCAAACAACCCCTCAAACCTTGATAGGATGCATATACAAAGTGACTCAAAATGATAACAAGATCACTCAAAGAAGAAGCAAAGAAACTATTTCTTATGCTTGGAAGAACACCAATCATGACAAGCTACGAATGTGCATCATTGGATCAGTACGCAAGCCCAACAATATGGCAATATGCAATTCAAAATTGAAATGCATAAAACAGAATGAGCAACAAGCTGTGATGCGTATACAGTTAATGGAGAGCTTGTCCTACGGGATTTTATCCAAAAATTGACCTCGATTTGCTTAGTGCACATATATGGAAATTTATGCAGATAAAATCTCGTACAAATTCGTTGTTCAAAACAGGATGGCTCTTTTAGTATAGCAGAATGGATCCTTCCATCACAAAATACTAATTACTAACACAAGGTTACAAGACGATTCAATCCCCTTCACCATCAGAAATATTATCTATGGGCTCATCCTTCAGCCACCTTGCATCAAACCATGCTCCACATAACACTTCCTGGATCCCCTAAACGTACAAAAACAAACATTGCTCTCAGTGAGGCGATGATCCTTGTTCGACCGATCCCAAACCCCGCTGACAAATCACTAAACCAAATCGCGTAAGGGCACAGATCAGAAGAAGAAGAAAGCGCAGGAAGTGGGGAATGAGTGAACTACTGACCGAAGCCTGTGCAGTGTACGGTGACGGATTGGCCCCTGACGGGCTTGGGGCCATGGCCGGCCTTGAGGAGCTGCTTCTCCACGCCCATTTGCTGGGGTCCCAAACCCTATCAAGGTGACGGCTCTTGGGACGTCGGCTCTCACGACACGGAAACCCTATGCTTGCCGACCACGGAATTTTTATATGTATTCTGGGCTATTGATACCATTAATCTTCACCATTTAATGAGAGTCCACATTTCCAAATACGCCCTTATTTTGACGTGTCAATTCCTCGACCGCACGTTTACGGTCCTGATCTTCACGCCAAGTGTCATCGTAGATGCTCCCGTCATCTTGGCATCTTATCCTTTTACCTCAGTGAACATGCTTTTCTTACAATAATCTAATGCCACGAGGCCAAGATGAGAAGACCAATCCCACGTTTCTAAATGTCAGTGGAAGAATTACTGTTTTGTGCTTCATCTAGCACAGCTGATCTCTATAGATAGCTAGTTGTCGCTGTCAAGGTCCAGCCGAGATGCCAATAGCAGCTATTGCGGCCGAAATTTGCTCGTTTAGATAGATCTATGCGAGAGTATATCGTTCGTTCATTTTACCTATCAATCATATCTTAACCGTCCATATTCGAAAGTATGGAACATATCATTGATCGCATAGAACAAATATGCAGACATTCCCGCCATTAAACTTAGTTTTCTCCTTTTTTTTTTTTTCCCTTCCATTCAATTGCGACCGTTCAAGTTATTAAACTTGGTTTCCTCCGTCGCCACGGCGTTCGTCTTCTCTCTCTTCTTCCCCCATTTTGGCCAGGGATCGAGACCCGCTGAACCCTAAGGATCATCGGCGCCGGATCTCTCCTCCCATGGCTTCCTTGTTTCGAGCTTCGCTTGACTTCGCGGCCTTTGATCCTTCCTCTATTGAGGCTTCCTCTCGGTTCTCCGGGAAACCTTCGGGAGCAATAAAGGTGAGACCTTTTTGGCTCCTCACCTTGTTGTTGTTGTCTTTTGAGCGTTCGTTCGTCTGGTTTGTGTTGACATTTTGTGCGTTCCTCTTCAGATCGGCAGTTCGCCCCTTAATTTGGGTAGATTAAGCAATGCACGCCTGAGAATTCTGGGTTGCGTCGAGTAAGTTTACTTCTTGTTCGATATGTTGTAATCAATGAATTCTGCGAGTAAATTGGTTGATCATGGAGTGACCCTTGATTTCAAACTTTTCCTGCGATTTCGAATTACTAAAAGGCAACTTCTTTATTGTGATTCTATTCGTTTTGATGGTTTTTCTTATGTTGTTCACTGGATTTCATTTTGTTTTAAGATTGGTGAGCAACATTAGGTGATTAATTGGCTTAAGGATGAAATTTAATTCGTAGGTAACACGGGATTATCTTGATCATCGATCTGCAGTTGCTGTTTTGAGAAAGAAACCCTGATTGTAGCTAATTCCCTTGTTTTCTATAGATACACAGCTGAATGTTAGAGGGAGGAGGACCAACAAGGCCTTGATCTAGTGGTTGGTCTTCCTCTTCATCTAAACGAGGCTCTGGGTTTATATTCTTGTGGAGTTGGTTCCCTACTACTTACAGAGGAAACAATGGTATTGTTATCTTAAAACACAAGAAGAACAAATGGGAAGGAGAGGCTTATGTTTGAGAGGAAGTTCAGATAATTAAGACTGTAGTTATTCATTATCAAAATTTGGGATTCCAGGATGTCATGTACAAAATAAGGTGTCTCAATCTTAATTCGTTTGATCTATCTGAGTACATGAAATTAATAGCTATTCTTTATTGATTTGTGAACACAAATATTTCATGATTATTTGGAGTTCTATTTGAGCATAGCTTCACGGTTATAGGGTTTAAATCTTAGTGTTTATGGACTTCATTGCTGACCAAATAATTACTATTCTCTTTGAGATTCACAGAGTAAAGAGCAAATATGAGTGATTGGGAGATTAATATGCAAACCCTGAAGGTTCTACGGACTAGTATGCAGTACACAATATATATATATATATATATATATATATATATATATATA